TTGCTGAGAAGATCATGTTTAGAAGCACCAGCACCATTTCAGTAAATGAGCAATTATTTCAGTCATCTACATTATAAACATTAATTCGATTATTATGTGTTTTTGCAGGACCAATTTATACACACGTTTAGCTGACACTTGGAGATGCCTTTTGGAGAAATTACCTCAAAATCTCGGAGGCAAACACAGGGCGTGTAACGAACCAAAAAATAGTAATTTAAACCGTGGCTAAATATATAATTTTGTATTGATTTGTTGTTTTAAGTGAGTGAGGTCTCGACAATTTTATTTCGGTTTATTTGTGTGTTAATGAAATGTAGATTGTTTGAATGGTTGGAAACTTTATTGATATCATTGTGACGGGTGATGTGCAACATCTGATACTGAAACACTCACATTGTACACAAATTCAGCATATGTTCAGCAAAAGTGGTACGAATAAATTGAGTGCTACAAAATTCAATTTGCAGTCTGGTAATGAAATGTGAAAAATTTCAATAAATGTGGTTGATTATGATTAAGGTTTAAAACTTGTTGGTCATCATGGACATTCCTAATTGATATACGTTCATGTCAATAATGTGTAATGGTAAACCAATAATTCTCGTTGTTACTTACGAGTCGACTATCATTGATTCATTATAAAGAGTAATTTAAAACTAAATGGAGTGCATAGAATCCTTATTGATTGTCCTATACAACTGGTTCAGCAACAGCAGGTGAAGTGATTAATTGATCTAGAATCGGTCTCCAGACAATTAATGAATATCGATTGGTTGAAAAATACTAATTGGAGGATTTCCGTAAAGATCAGTTTTGTGAGAGAGATAGTTAGTAATTGCATGTCAGCACTGAAATGGATGTGCGTAACCGAATTTTGTTTGGTGTGAAAGTAATCTGTGCTCCCAAATAGTTTGAATTTTATACATTTGTCGACAGGTCGTGGTGTGAAATTCACCTTCTCTCAATAGACATGATGAATATGATCAGATTCATTGAGCATTTGTAGATCATTAAAACAAATACTGAAATCTAATGACTGTTCATCATACAGTTTTGTGAAAACGCAGTATGCTTTGTATAAATGCGACCGTAATAAACATTCATGACAAGATGAAATTGGCATACATTTCATCTTCATTTGACCTGAGTTTTCTGAGGTATGCATGAACATTTGAGTCAGTGTGTGAGTCATTATCTTTTATCTTAAATAGATCTTTATTTCTACCACAGCACTCATAGAGCCTTACCACGAATTTCGAACTGTTAAAATTGGTGACTTAATTTAATTTTTCCAATTATGTGAGCGACATCACATCTGAGCAATCTGGATTCGAGACTATTTCAGGAACAATTGACATATCAATGGATTCATCATAGTATTGAATATGGATTCTACATTGCATATATGATTTGTGAGAGCAGCCAACATGTGCTACAATAACATCTGAAATGTGATCAGAATGTGACACATTTAAAGTATATTTTTCAACTATATTATAGTATTTGTAAAATGCCGTATTTTATATTGTCACTATACATTTTTCCCCGACAAAGAACAACAGTCGTTAAGAAGAGATATCAACACATTTTAATTTTGATATAACTCACAATGGACACTGTAAAATTCATATAATTTAACTTTATATGATATGTCTGTGGGAAACAGAAAACTTTAAGCAAAGTGGACATGACTAGATAATATGAATCGAACTGAAAAAATGCTCTGCAATTTGTCATTGATATGGACTGTTGATCCCGTCATAATACATATCTCTGTACATATTTGTGATTTTAAACATCTGATATATACGAATATGCTTGCGTCAAAACACTGCAGTCCAAGGTTAGACGCTGATCAGTTCTTCTTTGATAACTTTATCAATGATTACATGAGGATTGTGGACACGCGATTGATTAGACCGTCTTATTGAATGTCACTTACTAACCAGTTGCGCTCTGTTTTGTAAGAGGCCTTGAACCATCTCAATTTTTATGTTTTATGTGCATTCTTTTGTGACTTACCCACTAGACATCAAAATTATTTGCTTTTTGTTAATCAACGCAATATGTATAGTACTTTCATAGACCGAAATTTGTAACTTCAAACGAATACATCTTTACTCGATGAACTATCATACGGTTACAAACGAGACGTATTAACTGAGAATATGATGTTAAGAATCTGGAACAGCATCCCGATGATACATATACACCTGCACTTAGTCATAATCAAATCATCAAGGTGAGTGAATTGAACGGTTGTAATTCATGTCAGATGATATGCTATCTAAAATCAAACTTCTTGAATAGCTCAATTTTACAACGTAAATGAGGATTTGTGATTGTTGGAAACATTCCTGTGAATTTAGACACACGACCTGCATTAGTTACACATAATTCAAGACTTTGTTATTTGGAAAAGCAATATCCGGCTACAACATTATGTTTGCAGATTTATCAGCATAAAATCACCTTCTTTATTTAGTGCTAAATACCTACACTACTTAGACAATGACATATCGGTTTCCCATTCCATTTTATTTCCATCGAAAGAACAACACATCAATTCAGTAATGATTGTTTAATGACCTAATCATTTGTTTGTTTTATTTATTTCACTATTAATCTTGTCAACAGCATCAAAATGTGGTTCATGTGAATGTGAGTCGATTTCATGTTGATATAACAAATAACGTTGAAAAGAACGGAATCAACTACTTTATTTCAGCTTTTGGCAGTTATCTAGTTTTAGGAAATATGGTATTAACGCTTAACAATTCCGCTGATGTACATCTCACCATAGATATCCCCAACTGTAACCCTGATACCAGTTGATATAATTAACATGTATGAATACCGTTGTATTTGTCTTCTTTATTGGTTTTCATTTGATTCTCCATGACATGATGTATTGCAATACATACATTCATAAGCAACATTTGTTTGAAACTATTTATTTGAGGCTTCAAATATTGAGTCGTTCATGTAACGAACAATACTAAATATCAGAAAAACGATGTGAACGAAAATGACAATACTAAACCACAATGAGGTGAAAACTATTCCACGGTATTCTACAAAGATACAGAACAATAATAAATGTGTGATGAATGGGTTGAGACTTTAAAACATCTTCATTTTAAATTTTCTCATGTGATAGTTCCATCAAGATCATATTTGAGATAGACGGATGAAAATTCATTACAAGTCAGTGGAGATGATTTTATTTAGCACAATGAGGATTTGATTCATGCATTTGGGTAATGTTTCACTCATCTTAAAATTCCCAAAGTGAATAGGATACACGTTCTCTATTTACCATACACCAGATATTCCACTTCTTCTTCTAAAGCTGTTTACTCTCTCTCTCTCTCTATCTATCTATGGAGACTGGTTCATACCCGTACTGTTGGAAAACTGCGTACATCATACCACGTTACAAATCTGGAGATACAATTGACATGAAGAATTGTCGGCCGATAAATATTACTCCAGTTATTTCTAGGATTATGGAAGAAATTATAAGTTATGAAATCCACGATTTTCTTATTTAGATTAAAAGTGAATTGTTAATTATTGTCCGTTCAATCGTTCGTTCGTTCACATCAGATGACATAATATTCAAACTATCCACTTGTAGTAGTTTCGGTTTTCCCTATGGAATTAAAATTGAAATTTTAACAATAGGATACTCTTCAAGAAATCTTTATTGAATTTTATCATCATTTAAATCTCGAGAATAGTGATATGCATAGAGTAACTGTGAACTCCTCAATCATATACTGGTGCTTGTTATCACATAATTTTCCTGAGATAGGGTACTTCACACAACTAATTGAACTATTTAAGTTTTCAAAATAATTAATTATGGTATCTAACCAGTCAATAACTCGGTAGTGTACGAAATTCTGATGTGTCTGGAGTTTCTCAATTTCTATCGTACAAAATATTAGCAATGTTACAGTGCATCAATTACGCTCTTTCTTCATTGATTATTTAACTTCACCAGCCTCAATTTCCAAGATCCTGATAATCTACTATTCATTTAGACTCTTTTATACTACTAAAATATGTATATACAATGGTACTTATGTTACTTATGTGTTAAATGGACAAAACCAGCATATAAAAACATGAGCAAAGAAACTGTAAAGTCCATTCAAACAAGCTTTGTCTTTTTAACTTATAAGATAACTTTATTGTTCAGATTACAAAGACACAACGCCATTTTCGACATATCTATACTTGGATATTTAATAATAAGTACACAAACATTATCACAACATCATTCACCGTAAACTTGAATTTCGTTACAAATAACTGGGATCTATCAGTATAGGATTGTGAAGATTGTTGAGTTTTTTAATTATGATCATGAACTGATCAATATTAGACTACCAATGAAAACCTGGAAGCACTGGATGATTGTTCCGTCCTAGTATGGGAATCCTCAGCAATGAGTATCCACTACTTTGCACGTGAAACTCGAATCTAGAAACTTCATAAAACACTGGTGTTACTAAATAAGACTAAGTATATATGGTGTATCGAAATATTATCACTCAATAATAATTTTGATATGATATTTTTATTGTTGGCTACTATCCATCAATCTTATCAAGAATTTTAATGAATATTCTATAATTTCTATTTCTATTGTTAATATTGATCACATCACTACTACTACTACTACTCACATCGCTTTTGATACTACTATCATTACTATTATTATTATTATTATTAGTAGTAGTAGTATTACCAGTACTATTATACCGCAAACACCAGAACTAGTTTCAAACTTCCCGGGTATATATTTTGGTATTAATTCATTATCTGCTGATCAGTGACAGTACAATTTAAAGTATTAAAAAATGATTTTTCTTAAAACAAACCAATCACTACAGACTGTGGGGTAGAGATTAAAATTAACGAATCATTATCACATCATCATAGTATAAAATGAAATGAAGTAATGAATATTCTTTAAAGAAGAATGTACTGTACAGTATTATTCAATTTTATCTTGGTTGTCGTACATTTCCAAATTGCGATGGGAGGCCGTAAGTTTGTTTTCAAAATGTATACTCTTTCATTCATGTTTAGAATAGTGTTTGAACAATCGAGTTAATTAGGTATCAGTATACGAAGGTTTAATTTGATCATTTCGAATAAATTGAGCATTGGGTAGATTGTTATAAATAAATAAAGAAAGAAATAATAGATTTGTAATATTCTACGGGATTATGAGGAGGTTTCTTTATTAACAATCCTGTAGAACTTGATAAACTTCAAATTAAATCGGCAATAGGAGTTCACGCCATTTTCTAACGACCACCAAATCGATTTCAAAAAATATCCAAATGTTGTAGAAAGGCTTTTCTAATTACAAAGAAAGGAGAGTAGCTGAAGCGTTCCATATAATGCTTAATCATGCTGCTCTCAGTAGAAAATAAGGTCTTACTATACATACTTCTTGGATTATCTATCCTAGCCACCTAGTCTGATATTATTCACAGTTCACACTGTTATCTTACATACAAATTAAACTCCATCTTTTCTCTGTCCAAAGTAATCTCTCCCAGTTGCTATCCATCATTTTCATGTTTGCTTCCCATTCCTGACAAAGTGTGTTCTTTGGCCTTCCTCTTTTTCGTTTCCACTCATGGTTCCAAGTTAGGGATTGCTTCGTGATGACGTCTGATGATTTTCATGATAGCTGTTCTATCCATTACCGACCTCTTTTCCTAAATTCCTCTTCAACTCTAAGCTGGTTTGTTCTCTCTCACGGTAGACTGTCGCTGATGGAATCTGGTCAACGGACATTGTGTATCTTGCGCAGACGCTTGTTTATAATTAATTGTACATTTATGATGATAGTTGTGGTAGTTCTACAAGTTTTAGCTCCGCACAGTAGAACTGTATTGAAGATTGTGACTTGGATATTAGTTGACAGGTGTTCTGAGTTGCATAAGTTTTTCAACTTGGTTATTACTCACAACTTCAAAACCATGAGTTAGGTTAAATAAATTTGGAGCATTCTCTACTGGTATAATTCTGGTCATTGGATAATTAATACAAACAGTTAACTTCGTGAATTGTATGGACTTGTTTATTGGAACAATTAGGTATCCATTATTCACAAGTAGATTTTCGTCAACGTAATATACTTCCCACTTTCCAAACAGTTAATTTGTGTATGAGTAATACCTACAAGCACCCAACTGCGTCACAAAGCAAGCCCTCACATGGAATCCTCAAGGCCGAAAGAAAAGAGGAGGACCCAAGAACACATTACGTCGAGAAATGTAGACAGACATGAGGAAAATGAACAAAAATTGGATAAAATGCAAAGGAAGGCTCAGGACAGAGTGTGTTAGAGAATGCTGGTCGGCAGCCTATGCTCCATAGGGAGTAACAGGCGTAAGTAAGTAAGTAGGTAACTACCTACAAGTGATCTCGTGAGTAGCGTTCATCACAGTAGTATAATTGGACAAAGTAATATGCCATGATCCACAACTATGATAAGATAGTGTATCCTTACGTAATATTGAACAACACGATAATCACCGCCTATCAAATGAACCACAGAAAACAGATAACAAAATGACAAAAATATTTATAAAATCGAAGATGTGTATCAATGAAAATATCTCGTCATTGTCATTTCGGATAGTACATGTTGCTCATAATAAAATAACCCTTCCATAGTGCTCGCTAAATCAGACATTGACTAAAAAGTTCATACATACCTCAGAAAACTGAGGTCAAATGAAGATAAAATGAATGCCAAATTTTATCTCGTCAAGAATGTTTAATACGGTCACATTTGTACAAAGCATGCTGTGTTTTCACAAAACTGTATGATAAACAGCCATCATATTTCAGTATGCGTTTTAATTATCTACAAATAACCAACGAATCCAATGAGATTTATCTTGTTCATTCAGACAAATTGAATATCACACACAAAATTGTAAACCCTGTTTCAATAATTCCAAGTCACTTGAATTGTAGTACAACCACCTATTGATCTTATTGAGTACGAGGAACATACAAATGTCCCATTCAAATGCTTGGGAGATAATGTGAGCATACATCCATCACATGCATTGTTAATGACAAGTCGAAATGCAAAATGCTTCTCATTATACACTAACACACTTTCCTATTCATTAATTTCGGTGCGATTACATTTCTGAATCGAGAAAAAGACGGTGATAGTAGAATCAAGAGTAATAGCCTATTATGGTAATTATATAAATGATGGTTAATTCACAACGATAATTTGCATCAACTATAATGAATCCCTCATTATTATCATCTGATATTAATGCTAGGTTGACTTTCTATTTTATTTTGTGGGCATCTACACACATCCTCAACTATCATACAACCGTTCCACTCTCACTAATACAACATAATCTACCAACATTAACAGCACTAATGGTTCTAGTATTATCACTGAGACTACCATCACAACTACCACAACGACAATGCTAGAACTTCTCTAATATTTCACAAGTATGTATTTCGATTATCATCGCTCTTGTCGAAATACATCTTTGGTGAGTATTTTTGTTACTTATCAGTAGTGATATCATTCACAGTAATATCCATCGAGGCCTGTCGACAATCATATAAAATTCAAACTATCCAGAATACAGGTAACTTTCACACCAAACGGAATTCTGTCTACGAACATCGATTTCAATGCTGACATTCGATTTCCAACACTCTTGATCACGTATAATACTCTTCTTTACACAAACCCTGCAATTATTATTATCCAACCAGTATAAATTCAGGAACAATCTGTAAACCGATTCTATGTATATTACCACATCATCTACTCTTAATCAGCCAGCTGTTTAGATCAATCAATAAGGAGTCTATGCAGCACATCATTCTGTTTAACTGCGAAGAGGAACGAACGGATGAAAAAGGTTCACTTTAGACGAACAGTTTTGAATACAGACCATTCACTCAAGATGAAAGCTGTGTGTAGACTCACCTACTATTTTAACGAACTGCTGTCAGAGACTGTGAATCGCGTACTTCTTACAACTATAAAGATGTATGTTAGTCATCTGTAAAACTGAAACTATGTGTTCAGATGAAACTCTTCCGAACTTTACTTTCATGTGTCCACATTTTTCCAAATTTTTCACTTTCTCTCCTGTTTCATCATTTGAATTCTGACCTTAAACCAATATATTTCTCTTCGCATACTCATCCCAATCATGGTTCATCTGAACATCACCGTTTCATTTTATCATGTCATTCGACATTCATCTAGTTCATCATCCTCACATCATGATAACAGTAATGGGCAAATTACTGAAATCGTTTATGGGAAACATGGTATGTGAGATTGTACACTTCAGAAGTGAGCTCTCCGAAAACACAACGTTTCTCCAAACTAATCTTTGTAACTCTGTGATTTCCTGATGAGTGCATTCCGTCTAGTTTTAAATCACTCTTTATAATGAATCAATGATAATCGACTCATGTGCAACAATATGAATTAGTGGTTTACCATTACATATTGATAACATGAACGTGTATCAATCACTAATTGTTCATGATAACCAATATGATTTACATCTCAATCTTAATTAATCACATTTGTTGCACTTTTTCACATTTCATTACCAGACTGTAAGTTGAATTTTGTAATATTCAATTTATTCATTCCAATTTCGCTGATCATATGAGTCTCAGCAAGCACATTTTAATGCTTTCTAGCTGGTTCACAATAATTGTCACTCAATTTTAATGTGTAAAACTAAACTATACTGAATGACTTCAGTCGAATAGAGTCGATTATTTAAAAGGAACATGTGGATTACTGGAGTACGACGCAGTTTCTAAATGTGTTTATGAATATCCAGTTAATGCAAAACAAAATTCTGTTTTTGTCGAGATTGCGTCATTCAGATAGTTTACATGATTATCTGTTCGTCCATTACTTACCGAAAATCAAATTATTGAAGAACAGCATTCTTGACTCTAGAGATAAGATCATATTACACAGTATTATATTTTGAATGAAGACAGCTATTAGACATAGCGCTCTAATAGAGAGGCGATGTTTCTTTGTAATATGTAAGTTTTATTTTACACAACTTAGAAAATAAATTATCAAGTTAGGGATGTTTTATGTTGGTTGGTAGAGTTATACTCTACTATTTCTAAGTTCTAAAATACTATCTCTTCTGTAATTGTACAATCTAATACAGTGTACTATTTGCACTGCAGTCGAACTCTGAACCGGTTTACATCTGTTTGATCAGTTTCAAAGTCACTCAAAGTAATTCTCTGAACTAAAGCTATAACTTTCTACTACCGTAACTCCATTCTTTAACGAATATGCTTTATACATTTACTGAATTTTCATATCCCATTGATCCTTTTCTCTATAAGCTGCTCTACATGGTAAGCCATTTAATACAAACTTGACTATTCTCAGTTCGAAAAATAATGTTAGAAACATAAAGTTTATCATTGTAATATAGTTACATTTACATGGAACTGATCTTATCAAAAGACTTACTTAATCAATGAGAAGCATACAAATATCCTTGAAATATTGGCAATAAATACGCATTACATTATTGTAATGAGTTGTGGATGATACAATTTAAACAGGTATTGTAGTGGACAATATTTACTACTTATATCTATCGACATCAGTAGTATACATCACAGTATGACAGAAATTAGCTAATCAATGTGAATTAATAATTTGCATATAAAAAAGGAGAAGAAGAAGAATATAGATCTGTGCACATAGTTAATGTGTATTTCATTCCTTAATTGTTTTGCATAAACATATATTCCTTTATTTTTACAATTTTTTTCAAGTACTATTCGATAAGAGTAAGTGATGGAATATTGTCTTTATAAAATACATCATGTTGATCTTGTTTTCATGAATGTTTGATTCATTAAACTAAATATTTCTATTTGATTCATTCTTAAGATGAAATAGACTGATGGATTCCGATTCCAGGAGTACAACTTTAAAATAGATCAAAACAAAAACAATCACGTATCCATTTATTCCAATCAATGACTTCGAAGTAAAATCATCGGAGATGATAATAATAAACCAGTTCTCATTTTTCAATACAAATTTACATTCAACACTCACATGAAGTGAAAGTCATTTCCCAACTAATATTTCTCCTTCTATGTCATTCTCTCGAACAGTCTTGAAAATTTTATCGTTATGGAATTTTTCATTCATTTGTGAGGGTTTATGTCATCCCATTGTTGATTGTAATCACTCCAGTTGATCAGTCTCTTTTTGAATACGTACATTCAGAAAGGATAGACGTGGTATTGATTTCAACTCAAGAGCATTTCAATCAACATTCTGAGGCTCCCCTAGGATACAAACCGATAAGATTTCATCTTCCTTGCACAATTCAGTGGCTATTTGTAATAAGAATTTGAGTAGACGTAACATTCAGTGTCTCAAGCGGACGTTAATAGGTTGAAGTCTAGATGTAAATATAAACACGGGTGCACGTGCAGTCAACTAATCAGACTAACAGAATCATGATGTTTACTGCTAGTCACTAAAATCAACACTTCATAATTGTTGTATAGGTTTTTTGTTATAATTCTAGATTGAAGTCAGTAGTGGGATATCAATTGTGTGATAATTTAATAACTAGCCAATATCTTTACAATTGATGAACCAGTTGGATATTATTTAGTTTCAATAGATTGTCGGATGAAGTGCTGAAAAGAAATCCATACGAACTAGATTTCATTCACAGTGTAAACAGTAAAGTAATAATGCAAACTGATGAATACGACAGCCACTAAACAAGTTGAAACTCCTGTCTCGATTCAAAAGATTGACAAAACCGTATATCAATAGGCAATGGCAAACGATCCGTAAATGATCCTATGCTTCAGTGATGATTAATCAGATGTACTACAGAATAAAGACAACACATTAATATAAATCTGTATAATATATTGTAGACGTATTTCGATGTATTCACTCTGTCATTGTCATTCACAAACAACATATTTCTGATTATATGGTAAAACTATTCGGTAATGATTGGCATCGACAAGATGGACACTAAAAGCTGGAAGACAGACAGAACAGGTTAAGAAACGCGGTCAGCGCCTTTTGACTAGTATCAAAATGATAATGTATTCAATCAACATCAACTCCCACAATAGTTTCAAACATGTTTTTATCATTATTACCTGTCAGAAAATAATAAAGATATTCAACTGTCTTTCAATTTCTTTGTGGGTATCCTCTGAGCATATTAATAATACAACGAGGATTCAAGAACTTTTAAATTTCTGGTGAAATAAATGCCCATTTGGCATAATTGCCACTTATCAGTAGTAATAACATTTAAAGTTACTTTGTAAATTATCCCTTATAATGAACCAATCATTATAGGCAATAGTATAGTTATAAACGTCGGTGGCTAACCGTCATCTATTAACGGTACAAATATATATATTAATTAGGAAGATTTGTGCTAAGAAATATAACTTACGTCTCAATAACAATCAACCATAATTGTTTAAACTGCTTTCAAAGTGAAACATGCTCCTGGATACACCGTTTTATATTTTTGATTATACATATACTTACATCTTATATTTTTCATAGCATTGGGAAATGAACGTAAGTTATCGAACAATGTTCATTCACTAGTTCATATTTGTAATAGTACTTACACTGTCGAACTCATCACTGTATTTCATACATTCTTATGAAACTTGTATGATCATCGAAATGAGGAAGTGTATCTACTTCCGTTATTATGATTTAAAGCTGACTACATAAATCGGAAAACAGTTTTGCTCTATCCAAGAGGATGTTACTAACGAATTTTTATATTTTCTTACTTAAAAATTTGAAAAACTGAGACAGCTTGAATTGTTTCAAATACAGATGAAAAGTCTCAGTAAATTAATAATTGATGGAAACATTTAGTTACATTTCTACACTAAACAGATTAATTTCAATAATTGAGATCATGAGTCAATTGAAGCTAGACCTGGAATCACCATGTTTCCAGGTTTTCCATGATGATCTAGCTTCAATTGACTCATGATCTCAACTATTGAAGTTACTATAATTTCCACCAAGTCCCCTTCTAATATTAAACAGATTAAGTTTAGAGTTATCAATACCAAGATTGGACTTGATATTTTCAAATAAATTAGGCGTTAGATAGAGAGTTAATAGTAAATATATTTCTATTATATCCCAATAAATAGAAAAATCAAATTTCCGATGTTTCGTAACTCGGTATAAACCGCTTCTTCAGAGTAAATAAATCACCGAAATTAAATGAGATTTGTGATAATTCTATTTTTGTGTAACAATCAAGCGTTTTGGCATCCACACACATCTCATTTGTGTATTAAGATAAAAGTAACTTAAAATAAAATCATACATCAACTGAACCAAATTACTGATTTACATTTAAACCATTTGAGAATATTTATCACTAGTTTCTACTTAATTGAATAATTTTCTGGTTAGCGTTATTTAGCGAGTATAGTTTTCTACGAGATGGGGTCGCCAATACCATGCCCAACCCTCCTCATTTATCCGGGCTTGGGACCGGCGATAGCCCCCAGAGGGACTCCAGGCGGACAATCTTTAGTTAATCAGTCACAATATTTAACAATAAAAGCATTAGTAAGTCCCTCTTTATAAACGGTAATCTAATCACACTCATGCGAAAAGTAAACCACACAATAATAGACAAGCTTTATTAAGACATTTACAACAACGTTATAATAAATTAGGCTAAATCGATTTTTATTCCCTGAAAGAAATCAATAGAATCTATTACAAATCTTTTCATGGAACTATTTTATCTTGTAAATAATTCATCCCATTTACTCGTTGAACGGAACAATCTATATAGTGACGCTTTTTCAGATGTGAAGTAAATATAATATTCCAATATAAGAAAATACTTTTCTTAAACCAGATTTATAACCTATCATCAACAGCCTCATCCATGAGATAATCATATATTTGACAGTTTGTTTACCTACTGGGAATTACAATTCACACCAGAATAGATATTATTTAGAAGATGATTTAAGACAACGTTACCTATCTCCATTGTTACTTCATTTAAATTATTTGTGCAAATTGATATTTTGAAATACTTTTCAAGCTATACCTCGACCTCGTAAGTCATCAAATCATATTTCGATCATATATATATATATATATACATCACTTAACGCATGATTTATGTATAGTTTGAACAGTCATGACAAACATTGATAGATGGTGAATATCATTAAATATGACATATTCTTTGTGGAAAGACTGTTCTTTTAAAAAATACAATGCTGTTTATTAATAAACGTTCAAGTTCACCTATGGGGATTGTTATAACTTGTGGCCTGAGTGTCCTGCTAACGTATACGTAACGATATCGCCAATTAGAGAGCAGTGAATTATCGATCGGATCAATGACGCCTAAAACCCGTGCGAGCAGTGTAGAGTACTTATCGGTCATGCTTCCTGCCTAGCATAGCCAGCCTCTGCAATATCAATAATTTATTTCAAACATTTTGGGTTTATATACCAACCAGACAGACCACATCGTACCAATAAAAGAGAAAACAACATTTATACGAGATTTGGCCAAATGTAGCTGTGAATGTGGGAGGTAGTAATTAATAGACGAAAGTTATCATTCATTATGCTTATCGGGACATAACAGAGATGATACATCAATTATGTTACAATCAATCTCTTTCAGATTGATATTTCAAAATTTACACCATTTTACATAGTTAGTCACCGATATTTAATTGATTAGTTAGAATTTCTCATGTTGGCGTCAACAATCTACTGAACTGAAACAATTAACCACTTTCCACTCCCAAGTGAACGATCGACAATATTAAAGCAGATCAATTGTTACAAAGATTGTTAGGTTCAATTAAACATTTCAAATTCCAATCTCCAACTTTTATATGATAAGTGTTTTGAAAATAAGTAATGAATAAGACACTGTTGACTTAATAGTCCAGCAGGAGTATGTATAATTCTGTTTCTTTTCATTAAACTTAGTTGATTGGGACAAATTGGAAAGAATAAGTATGTTTTAACTTGTAAAACTCAAGAAGATAAAGCTTACATATATCGTTTTGTGAAATACGTGTTTATTTGAATAAAATCCACTAATAACTCTGCACACATCAGTTGAAATTCATTCAATAGTATTTGCCTCAAAATCATCCTAGTTGAGTTACCACTGGATATAAGTGAGACGTTGACAACTATTGATATATTAGTTGCTAAATAATAATATTTTACAAACTGTGATTATTCTGCTCATTTCTATGATTTAAGTCTATGAGCGTGCATACTTAACATATAAATAATGTAACTTCAATAGTTGAGATCATGAGTCAATTAAAGCTAGACCACCATAGATAACCTGGAAGCACTGAACGGCCGTTTCGTTCTATTGTGGGACTCCTTAGCAGTGCGTATCTACGATTTCACCTCGCGGGATTCGAACACAGGACCTATAAATAATGAATAGTATCATTGTGTTGTACAAATAATTCTGATGTTCAAGAAGATGATATCAATGGTCATTATTAAAAATGTCAAACTGCAATCTGAGTTAAGTAATCAACATTTTCAATAAAATATTCTTTGTCCCATTTACAGATGATGTAGAAAGCGGAATGGCTTATTTCAGACAAAATGAAAAGTTACTACAGGCCACAATAAGTAAGTGAAATATGAACTGATTTCTGTACGTAAATACATAACTAAGAAAATCTACATGTCTTAAACATACTTTCATGCATAACACGACTTATTAACACATAAAAACGAAGTTGAAACACAAAGCAACTACATATAGTAACGAATTATTCAGTACATTTTATCTACTTAGTCTTTTCCGAATGGTGTCCAACTGAAATTCATTATACAACAACTAATCCAAGAAACTTCAAACACAGTTCCCTATTTGCCTCACAGTAGTTCCACCGTTAGATTGAGGAATTGAACCTTTTGAAATATTTATATATATTTCTCGTCATCAAGATTCTAACCATGTAATTACACGAATAACGGTAGCGTTAGCGCGATCGAGTGATGCTACCAGTTATATACGCATGATTCATGGATTTGCGCTGCTATTTATTCTGGTATGTAGTGGCATATATCACACAAACTTAATCCTTATGTCTATCAATACTTTTCTAAATAAGGGATAGTCATCCGGTAGGGTGACTGATAAATGTCGTGTTTCATGATTTACATCACAGTCTAATCTTAGTGAGACAACCAGCGTAAACCTACGTGCACTCAACAATTGTTTCATTATAGCATGAAACTCCCTAGTAGTGTGCAAAAATCACCGATCAAGAGAACAAAGCACATGGTTTGGACACGTTTTGCTCAGAAGTATAGATGTTTCATAGTTTGCAATGATGTAAACAACGAACTGTACTAATCTCTCATACTTAAATAATTATTTGCTTGAAGAATTTCTAAAAGCAAAACTGAATACATTTTATCGTTTAAATATGTCTGTTTCTTTCAGATGACATTATTCAGAATCAACGTAAAAAACGTAGAGCGATCAAAAAATGTATGTTTAAAATCAAGATTATTTACATTAAATCTCATGGTTGATTTTAGACGTGAAGTGTAAAAGTGAACAACAACATGAAGAATCCTTCAGTTTATTTCTCAAAGGTTTGAACAGATATTACAAATAAACTTTTGTTGAAGTGTAGATCTTCTTAACTCATCATTCACACGCATACATCATTACACTGATTTGTTTCAGTCATTTTGATTTTTCACAAATCAAATAGGATCATAAATCATTCTACTTCTTTATTATACTTACTTTCTAAAAGTTACACTAGACGACGAAATGATAGTTAACGTGATAACAATCCTGATCTGTGTTAAAAAACCCTGAACATTTCAGATCATGTAAATAAAATGTGTTCAAATGAATTAGAATGGTATTACAGCATATATACCATGTTTCAAACTAACCAGATTCACCAGGCAATCTCCTTTACATTATTACAACCAAGATGTAACCACATAATTTGAAGTGAATAAAGTTGTAGGTTTAAATAACATGACAATTTTCTGGTCACCATTATTTGTGTGCATTCAATCACCTTTCTATTTAACACTGGCTCTAACTGAAGGAGGCTACTGATTCGTTGAACAGTTTGTTTAAATTTTCTCCAGATTTATAAACTCACTAATCTTTCTATTTATCACAATATTACGAATAAGCAATCTATATATTGGAAATATTTGGAAATAATTCACCAATGGTGATATTCGACTGTCAACACAAGAGCTCCATTATGGTTACAAGCTAAAACACTATTATCTTATAATCTTTAAACATAACTAAGATTATTCATTTAGTGTAGTTTACTTGTATTATTATTTAGGACTACAATTGATCAGTCTTTTGTTGGCGTATGTGCATTCTGTGCGAACTGCCTCGATATTGCGTGACGTCACAAGCTTTATAAACAAAAATGGATAGTGGATAGGGGTAGAATCCACGATGCGCGTTTCGTCTCATTTGAGACTTGTCAGATGAATGTCCACTCTGAGGCTCAAACCCAGTACCGCACGCTTCAAACGCCATCACGTCATCCACTTATCTACTGAGTCGTGACAGCCATCTGTTTGTGCAATACGGTGATGAAACGCACGTCCTGGATTCCACTGCTAACCACTACCTTGCTTTCCTTATAACTAAAATTAGATCTCATTATTCTTATTGTTAGATGCCATACAAATGAAGATCTGTTTACCTTCATTTAAATCTTTTAGAAATGAATAAACAGTTTGAAAATAAGAATCTAATGTCATGTATGAGTTTGTCTTTTGTTTTCTTCTTCTTTAAATAATTGTCCCTTATCATATTGAATGTAGATTCAATGTCGATGGTGCTTATGATTTTGAAAAATTCTATTTACAATATTCGCTTTTGTGTACTGTTCTCCGAAAATGCTTTCATAAATGTAATATCGATATATGTATATATAACTTTTGGAAACAAAAACAGTCACTTGTTTTCATTACAGTGAACTATTTGGATTGAAGTAGTAGATCTGACATTTGGTTGTTATAGTAATCTGTTTTTTCCTTCTATAATTTTGAAGTTAATTTCATCTACCTTTCTTGTGTATCGTTGATACTACAGTTCCTGATTATTCAACTCTGAAGGACTGCTTCATAACACAAGAAAATATTTTAGAAAGTCAGTGAAAATATTCTTAAATGTGTAGTTACATAAATAATATGTACATTTCTCATTCAATTACTATATGAAAATTGGCATTCCTGTTTTGCATATAAGCGATTGTTCACTTAATTATGAAATTGGAATAGTCTATAAGGCTTACGGATGATCATTACACGTTCATGAGTTGAATAAATATAAATGATGTTTCACTGTGGACAAATTGATAATGAATGAATTGTAGATGAACATTCATAGACCTGAAACTAAAAGACAATTAGTGTTCACTGTTACCTGTTTAATTTACTTGGTACTTTCAACATAAATTCATGGTGAATAATACTTGTTCAATTCAATAGCGGAGTTCAGAACTAATGAAAATGTTTGGAAAATACAGACATTCACAAAACAACCAACGTACAGTTGGCTTATTTCAGAAGGTATTGGGCACTGAAAATTTATGGAGTTCACATTATAATAGCCATTCGAGTGGCTGTCATTCCAGACACACTTTCGAGAATAGGCAAAGCAAATAAACTTGAGCAAGGCTGAACAAACCAGAACTTTGATCGTTCTTATCATAAACCAATAAATGATAATGAATTCACCGCCTTATTTTGATCACCAATAGAGCCTGAACTTGATGATACTAATCGAGAAATATGTAAAATACTGACATTTTATAAAAGGATTATAAATATATCCTTCTTCGTCACATATCCTTCTATTCTCTGTTGTCTGGATCGTCGAATTATGAAAGATTCACCTTCCTCTTCTGAACAGATAACTTTCATAATTCATTTGGTGAAGTATCTTAAAGTTGAAATAATATTAACCGATCAGCTATGAATGTTTTGAGAAATAGACGTTTATATTTAATCAGACTACTGGTTTTTTGAGGAATTTTCAAAGCTTCTATCCAATTCAAATGCTGATCAGTTCAAGTAACAAAACCAATATGAAATTATTCGTTTGAATTTTATTTCCAGGACAGAAGTCTAATAGCGAAAATGAGGTTTGCGAACCACCTGGGATATTCTCTGAACAAGGTATATTGTAATAAGTGATATTCATTATGATACATTTAAACAACGATGTGTTCTCATAAATTGTAACTACTTATTTGTTTCTAATATCATCAGAAATTTACAGCTACTTTCTCGGAGTTTTAAAGAACGTTCATTTATCAAGCGTTTGTCCATCAGCATAGGGTTCTGAAGATTGTTCAACTTCATTAAAATAGAGGAATGAGCAAAGTCATATGACTATTTAGAACTCAAAGCACGGAACGGCTGTTTCGTTCTAGCGTGAAACTTCACCATTTCGAGTCCACATCCACAAGAGTCAAAATCAAATACAAAACTCTCTTGAACTGATTAAAGTTGAACATATCCACTATTGGATCGGAACCCCATCGTTCATAGATTGAGAGTTTGTATGAGAGACCATAGATACTGAGTTTGATTCGCTCCGGTGAAGTTGTGGATGCACTCTGTTCAGAAGTCTAATACTAAAACGAAATGATCATCCATTGCTTCCAGGTTTTCAATAGTTGTTTAACTTTGGTCGGTTTCCGATTTAGTGAAACAATTATCTGTCTACTACCCTTGTTTATGTACTGCTGGTGTTGAAGCTATCACGAGTTCACTTAATCTGTGAACGACAAACAAGACACGGTGAACAAAGACCAGTAAGCTAGCTATTGATGCGTCCCAGCCCCGCCAACTAGAGAGAGAACTCCAAGCTTGGAATAGGGAAGAATATTCTGCAAACAGCCAGAAACAAGCGATAACAACACACACAATTCAAAACGTCTATATACAGTGCAAAACCGTCCTTGGGGAGAGTTACCGAATAGCATACTAAAAGACGCAACGGACCAATAGTATTTAAGATATTTCCAAGTGGAAAATACAACATGTAAGTGACGAGAGCGTCTCTGGCGCAAAACGAAAGAAATTCAAATTTTCTAAATAAATACCAAACTGAAAAGGTATAAAACGTTAAGATGAATTCATCAGTATACTTTAAAAATTGATGGAAAACCTTTCTCATTCTCCTGCTAGATATTCAGGATCTGAATCAGTTAATTTATATCAAATACGATATTTTGTGGAGATGGAACAAAGCATTATGTAAGTATAAGTAATAAAATATTGTATATCTTTTATGAGGGAACTGTTCAGAAGAGAATTTGAAATGTTCCGAATCTTTAGATTCATACACATACAAACAGTTTGTCAAGTATTCATATATTGTGAAGAAAGTCAATGAATTATGAGAATTTGAAAACATTTATGAGCAATTTATGTGACGTAGTAGGAATAACTACATAGTCCACTGCTTGGAGTAAATCTCATCGTTTGCAGAACAATAGACCAATCATTAATATGTATTTTACTGTACAAAATAATGATTTGTTCTTTCTTTGACATTTCAGTTAACTACGAATTCGCTTCGAAATATATGGAGCACACACTAAGTTTATTACAAAGGGTAATTCAAATTCACTTTCTTATTTTTAAACTAGCACAAGTTTCGCCATTTTGTGTTTGTCCCATGTCAGTTATTGCAATATCATGTCATTTAAGACAACTTGTTAACTGATTTGTTCCATTCAGACATACTTTGTGAATACAACATATTAAACATATCCAATGGTCGTTAAAACAATTCATCATGTCGACTTTAATAAAGTCACCATCAAACCGATAACTTTTGCCAATGAATATGTTTCAAATCTGTTGACGGACAAGGTTAAAGGACATCAAACATTTCAGTTAATATGAAATCTAGAGATGGATAGAATAACATTCTATTCAGCAACAGTAGGTATGGATTGTAATCAAAGTGTCCTGCTTGAATAATTGGGCTACCTGTTCTTGCCATGTGTATATTTCAACAGGTTATCTGTATCCTTGTTTGTTTTAATACATCATTATGTCTATTAATCGCATAACCTATTCAGGTGAGTTTGTGAAAAGTTTACGACATTGCTCTGTTCAACTTACAAAAGAGCCCAATCAAAAGCATCGTGGTTGCTGACAATATTCATCGAAAACAATATGCATCAATCAGATGTCGATTTCTGAACTGTGAACATCTAAATGGTGATCACCCAATATTTATCGCAATGGTCGATCAAGAAACAAGATTAAGAAATCTTGTTGAAATACTTTGTGCTGAGAATCCCACATTGTACTAAAAATGTAATATTGAATAAAACCACTTAATAATAATAGTAAAATCAATTAAATTCGTAGGATAATAAGAAATTTCAATTTCTTTTACAGATGTATAACGACTTTTAATAAAATGCTGGTTGAAAATGTCCATTACAAATATTGATCACATTAGTTCAATCTCATTTGTTCGAGAATCCTGTTGAAGATCCTGTATTGACATTTAATAAATTGCCTTAACAACCAAGTTTAAATAAAAACCATGTTTGTTTGAGAGATTTGTTCTGTTCTGAAAAATGTATTTTCCAAATAATCATCAAAGATTCATAGCACAGTAATGACCTACTTTTATCAAGAGCACCCGATTTGCGTAATGGAAGCAATTTTTATTATAACCAATTGTACCAGGGATTGTTTTACCGTACATGTTTGTTTAACTGTACCAAAATCCATACATTCTTGATTGTGACCTTGCGCGAATTCGGTTTCCCTCAGTAACTATACTTGTAACCTGGCACGATCTCGGTATTCTTTCGATACCACGAGATCGCCAACAAATACATGTCGACTACAGCCATCAACTGCCTTCTGGTATTTGGCATACGAGGGATCTTATCGGTTAACTGGCACGTAGTCTTCCTGTGGAGGTGATCATAGTCAACCGCGACTCAATGCCACACTACAGCACAAACTCATTAGATTTATGGGATGAATTTACATGCCAATCAGTCATGATCATCGCGTAGCCTTGGACAAACCAGAATTAAATAAAGCTGACATACCATATAAGTACGACATTAAGAAACGATACCCAAGCAACACAAAAAAGGGAAATAAAGGCGAAGAAAGAGGAAATAAAGCGGACGAAAGCATAAATAAAGGAAAAATGTCGCTTTTTCGCCTTTACGTCGGTTATTTAGGGGAAATGTCGCTTTTTCTCCCTTACGTCGTGTACTTGGCGGAAATTTGTCGACAATTATACGTAACGTACAGTATTTGAATGGACCGCATTCAGAACTTAAGTTTTCAAAACAAAACTAATGTCATAAAAACAAGGTACAAATTACGGAATCAGGCATTCGGTTGAGACGCATATACACTGACTTCTTTTTTTGTTTAGCTAAAGTGTTTCGACATGCTTGGGAGCGATCACAAAAAACTTACGTGATGCAGATGAGTGACGTGCTCTCAGATTTTCATGTTCATTGTGACCGATCGCCTTGTTAGGCCAATAATGTGAGTTTTGTTGAAGTCAATGATAATGTTCGTAGACGTAGAGCCACTGTGAACTTGTCACGTTCCCTTGGCTGTCATACATCCACATATAACAGAAGGCGGAATAAAATGCCAACCGCTTTCATGAAAAAATATGACTTTCGTTCAGTGAGTTTGCTAATGAAATCACCCTGAAAGGTAAATGAGTTCGACAGTGTTGTTTATAAGATTGATGGAAGTAAAGAGAGAAATACGTCGTGATGACAGAACTTCAACTGTTACACCATCCACTAGCAACATCAATCAAAGGCTTTCAGATAATAGTGGTATGTACATTGAATTCATACGGGAATATATATCTTAATAATAATAATAATAATAATAATAATTTATTCTCAAATAACAGTTTGTTACATGAGGCATGCCAGTTTACAGGCAAGATCAAATTGATACAAATGATACAATATACACTGTATTAAATTACATAGCTGGGTTGAAAATTTATAAGACATGAATGTAGATTGTTTTAATCAGATGGTAACGTAAGAATATTGCCCGACATACCGTACTCTGAGCGCAATATCATACGTAACGTCCCTAAAGAATCTCGCGAGAAGTTCTTCCGCGGACGAAACATAATTGTCCAAGGTATACCGGAAAATGCAGACCCTACTCACTCAAATTCTGACATCAGGGAATGGAAATTCATCAAACAGTCCTTGAGGCTCAAACACATACTGACTCAGCATGTGACGAGACTAGCCAAGAAGGACGGTGATCTTAGACCCCGCCTAATGAAGATAACCTTCCCATCTTCCCACATGGCGGCTGCAGTTCTGGAAGCATTTCGTGCTAATAGACGTCGATTGCCACCTGGAATCCACATGCACCCGGATAGGCCATACGAAGTCAGGACCAAGAACAAAGGCAAGCTGGAGCTGACCATTTCACTTGTGGACTGTCTAAACGATAAAAAAAACGTGTAAAGGACAGGGCCTACCACCTCGGCAAACCTCATATAGGTGGGCTACCTGTCCATTCACATAAGGTTCATACAGAAAAACAGGACGAAGCTCATGCGTTCCAAATTGAAAGCATAAACTGCTTATATATGAACGCCGCGAGATTACCAAACAAACTGGATGAACTACGTGAACTTAGCAACGCTAACAAGGCCCATCTGATAGGAATATCTGAAACCTGGATATCTTCTCAGTTCTCGGATCAAGAGTTAGCATTGCCTGGGATGACTTTGTTCCGCAACGACAGAAAAATAGGAATTGGGGGTGGAGTAGCCATATACATAAGCTCTTGCTTGGAGGTGCACCAGGTTCACAACCTCGAGTTTAACAATCTTGAGGAATCCATATGGTGCTCTGTAAGGTTGTCTAGTACTTCCAGGTGTCTAGTCGGAGTCATTTATAGGAAGCCAACTGCCGACACCGAGTACGATAGTCGTATGCTGGAAGGACTATCCCGCTCTATCCGTCTCGGTTTCACACACATCCTGATTCTAGGGGACTTTAATCTCCCTAGAGTCAACTTCGCGGAACACACGTACACTGGAGGCGACAACTCAACTGAAGCTCGGTTCTTCAACCTCATCGATAACTTGGGCTTATATGAAAATGTGAGGTCGGCAACTCGTTGGAGAAACAGTCAGACACCATCGCGCTTAGACTGTGTATTCACTAACGAAGAATTCCTAGTCGACAACCTCTCAATCCTGGCTCCTCTGGGAAAAAGCGATCATGCCGTCATAGCCTTCAGTTTTGTCATCAAAACTAAGCTAAGGTATCCCAACAATAATTTGCGATGGAATTTTAAACGGCTGAATGTGCGAGCTCTACATGACCATCTACAACAGGTGGCTTGGGATGTTCACCCTCAAATCGATGTGGATGGTCATTGGGACTTCTTGCTGCACACGCTCTTATGTGCTACAGACCATTCAGTTCCTCAAACGGTTCCCAAAAGCTTCAAGCCACCTACAGTAATCAAGAACCGTACCCTTCCCCTCCTAAGCCGCAAACGGCACTGTTGGGCGGAATACAAACGAACTAATAACGATGGAGCGTATAGGCAATACAAACATATCAGGAACACATGCACGAAGGCTATAAGAGAAGACAGGCTTCAGTACCAAACAAAGCTTATGGACAAATTCGCCTCTAACCCTAGAAGCCTATTCCGTTATGCAGCCTCTCTTCGTCAAGCCAAAACAGGAGTTTCTCAACTGCTAGGTCCTAACGGCCCGACCAACAACGATGGCGACGCCGCTAACCTTCTGGCGGCCCATTACTCTCAAACATTTCAACCGGCTGATATCAACTTTATTGACGACAGTTTCATCTGCAATTCCACAGGACTTTCTGAAGTGGACCTAAGCGCTGACTTGGTGTTCCGGAAACTGCAGCACTTAAGACTTGACACTTCTCCTGGCCCGGACATGGTTCATCCTGCCATACTGAGGGAGGCAGCCTCAATCCTGGCAACGCCGCTTAGCGTGATGTTTTCACACTCGCTTAGCCGAGGCAAACTACCGGAAAATTGGAAGTTGGCTCACATCACACCAATTTTCAAAGGTGGTCGACGCAATGAACCTTCAAGTTACCGGCCGGTAGCTCTTCTGTCGTTACCTTCAAAACTCATGGAGTCCCTGATATGCGACGGTTTAAATGACTACCTACTGTCCTTAAATTTCTTCTCACCCCAACAGCATGGTTTCAGGAAGGGTTACTCTTGTATAACCAACCTGCTGACTGCGGTGGACAGATGGACAAGCATCCTCGATCGCAAGGGAAAGGTTGATGTCATTTACCTTGATTTCTCAAAAGCTTTTCATAAGGTTAACCACTTGTGTCTTATCAACAAGCTCAAACGACTAGGTATCAAACCACCTCTAATCGACTGGCTTACTTCATACCTAAAAAATCGACACTTTAAGGTTAGGGTCAATTTCACTTTATCTCAAGCTATGGAATGTCCTAGTGGGGTCCCCCAGGGCTCAGTACTAGGGCCTCTTCTCTTCTTGATCTACATAAATGATCTTCCTCAACAGGTAACGTCAGACTTATTACTTTTTGCCGACGACGTGAAACTTTGGAGAGAGATACGCAACCAAGACGATATACAGGCACTTCAAGAGGATCTGACTCGACTTCAAAGTTGGGCAGACGATAACGGACTTACCTTTAACACTTCTAAGTGTAAAGTAGTCCATCTGCTACATGTCGCAAACTACAGTTACAACTTAGGAAACACCTCTCTAGTAGTATCCCAAGTCGAAAAAGATTTAGGAGTCCTGGTGCCCCATGACTTAAAGTCTTACGCTAACTGTGACAAAAATGCCTTCCGAGCAAACCTTGCACTGGTAACGTTGAGGCGCATTTTTGGTCAGTTTGACGGAAGAACTTTCCACACAATCTTCAATAGTTTCATCCGTCCCCATTTAGAGTACGGAAACATAGTACTCCCCCCCTCACTCCAAAAGGATAAGGTCACTTTGGAGCGTATCCAACGGCGAGCCACGAAATCAGTTCGAGGACTCAAATCTAAGCCTTACGAAGAACGCCTCCGTTCACTAGACCTTTACCCACTAGAATATAGGCGTCTTAGAGGTGATTTATTAATGGCTTATAGTATTCTTAACACTTCTGGACATCCTCTTAAACACCTACTTAAGCTTAGTTCGAACAACAACCTAAGGGGTAACACCCAGAAACTGGAAACACAACATAGCAAGACGGAATGTAGACACAACTTCTACTCCTTAAGAGTTGTCAAAAGCTGGAACTCGCTGCCGGCCGAGCTAGTCCAAGCGACTTCTCAGGAGTCCTTCAAGAGGCAACTTGACCTATTCTTAAGGACCAAGGACAGCATCGCACTATGATTTACCAATTTCTTTTCCTCTTTTATTGTTAACATACCTAGGTTCCTGCCTGGAGGATTTGGTGATCCCCTGCTACTAGACACGGAAGCCTGTTAAGCGAAAGCTTCTTCTATTCCGTCCACAACCATTTGAACCATTTGAACCATTTGAACCATTT